AAATGATACATACATACTTTCACATGGTTACCGTCAAAATCCTTTGATTTTCATTTTTTTCCTTAACAGGAATTACCCATGTAATGGGTATCTATCTGTTGCTCTTAACATTTCTCTATCATAGGGTAACAGTAAAATGTCAAAAAGAAAAAACATTTGTCGTATCCAACAAAACCCTGGTGTTCATGTAAGAATACCTTAAACTGCCAAGAGAAAAGACAAAGAAAAGGAAGAAAGAGAGAAAAAAGTAGAAGAGAAGGAGAAGGCAAAAAAGTATGGTGAAGCAATCCTCTGTCCATCCCACATTTCCAATTTATAAATCTGTACCTTTTTCACCAGTTATATAATAAATCCATGGGTTCCACATTTTCCAAACAAAAAGTGTACTGTAACTTCTTGTTCATAGTGGCTGATTTTTTAATTTACTATTATCAATGATAACCTGGCATTTATCTATATGTATGAGATGGACGAAGACTTCCACAATCTGGCAATTGCTATCCTAACTGCTAAAAATATAAATTAAATCAATTTTTTAGTATGTCTTGGCGCTCTCTCTATTGATTAATTCAGTAAGGCCTACAAGGACGATTTGTTAAGGTTACACTGGGTTAAAGAATGTATAGTTATGTACCTGGACCCAAAACCTTTTAACTTTTGGTACTATTCTTCTTAAATGATCTTCACATTTTTACAAAAAGAGGTATAAGTAGTGGCAGATAATATAAGCAGTTTGGTTGGATGCTTATGGCCTATCTCACCCTGTATTGCTCATTTGTAAGTGCCCATAATTTCATAGATGACTCAGAGCTGCTCCCTTGACCCCATGATTGTGGTGATGGATATTGTGGTAGTGACAGGCCCTAGCTATAGCCATTGTGTACTGGTAAATACTAGCATACACCCTTTTTGTTTCAAAAGTTTGCTGTAGAGTTCTGTCCCTCTGAGTGGAACATCAGCCAGTCAGGGGGCGGGACCACTTAGCACATTTCCTGCCACTGCAGGGACATCCTGTGCTGGAGGAGAGGAAGCAGAGGAACAGTAAACAGAGGTGAGCTGCTGCTGTTGGGGTGGGGGGTCTTAAGTGATGTGAAAGCGGGGTACATTTGAGGTTTCTGAAGTGTGGATGGAGGACAGTTGCTTCTGGATTGGATCTGCTTGCCCCATCACTAAAGGAGAGGGGGGGGGGGGGGGTGAGTTGAAATTGGAGGGCTGGGTTGAAAGAGGTGGGTGCGGAGAACATGGAGAATTTTTGTGGGGAAGGGAACTATGACGTTCTGCAATTGATTCTGGGAGCTTATGAGTAATATTAAAACAAAGTGAATCACCTTTGGGAGGGCTCTGAAGTAATAGGATAGGTTACCTTCTGCTAAGGAAATGTGGCATGCCATTAATGTAACACCAAAATATTTATTTTTTTTTATCTATAGAAAAGAGAAGCCCTGTCTACTTTTTCCTCCAGCACTGGGAATGTTTAATGGATGTGCTCAATAAAGACATGGGAAATTTGAATTGTTTGTGTGTCATCAACTTACGCACAAGAATTCATAAAGACTGTTGCAGGCAGATTTTGTGAAAATGTCTCTCGTGCATTCTAAAAGTGGTGAAGAATGCTCCAAATTAATATGGTAAGAGGCATTGGCTTATAGGTGGAGGGTCTCTTTCCTTTGTGTGCCCTGTCCTTTTGGGCATTATCAACTACAGCCTTTGTAATGAAGATTTATGTGGGCTGTAAGCACTTTTTCAGCTTGCACAGTTTCTGGACTGCTCTATGTACTATATATGAATACATTTACTTGCTATTGATTATTTATACCAAATAGTGCTGCACTGTCATTTTTTACACCTCCCTGTAGGCTGGGATGGCAAGGCACCCCCCATTCCTATCTTCTCCTCCCCCTTCCTTTTTCTAAGTTATCAGATTTGCTGGAGACTGCACTGTCCACTGTTAACTCTTTCCTGTGAAGACCAGAAGTTCAGAGAAGTAACACTAAAAGAACACGAACTGCATTGAAAGTTGTAAACTGCAAATGCTGGGGTAAGAACTCCAACAAATAGATTACTGGGGAATGTTTAGCTTATCGAGTCCAATGTGTTAAACTAAACAATGCTGAAGGTTTTACTTTAAAGTTCATAAATTGTATGAGTCAAGGTAATATTCACAAAAATTACACAGTTCTACTACAAATTCTATGTTTTAGTTTTGAAGAATGATCCTATTTATTTGCTGTGGAAGGACCAAGAGTGAGCTATAAATTCATGGCTCATGATGATTCAAGCTATGGTACACCCGCAACTGAGTATAGGAAATGTTTAAATTTTTTATGATTTTAGGTTGTTGTCTAAAGCAGGATTGTCAACACTGCCTTCAAATTATCAAGCTCTGAAATGAGAAAAGAACTACATATTTTACACAAGTTAGTCTGTGATTTTTGGTAATGTAGTTGGACGTCTGAGCAAAGGTCTATTGCAGTCTGACCTTTGGAAGACACTGCATAGGTAATTCCCACAATCGCAGACATTATCAGAAAATGTGTAATGTAATTACACCTGGAGATAAGATAAACCTGTCACAAACTGAGGCAGTTCAGATAGACTGTATGATGATAAAATACCTGAACAGAGTTTACCTTTCTAGGAAATCAAGTGCCAAGCGGGGCGGACTGACCATTTGGGAACTCGGGCGCTGCCCGAGGACCCAGGGTTAGAAGGGGGCCCCATGAGATGCCCCTGGTACCTTTCATAGGCTTTTTTGGGTGTGGTTTGAGTGTGGGCAAGGACACAGGGGCCCCATGATCCCCTATTGCCCGGGGGCCCCATGAGTTGTCAGTCCGCCCCTGGTGCCGAGATGATTCTGTAAAGCCGGCCATAGAGGGTTCAAATCTTGTCTCGTTCAGCAGGAACTGGCTGAGATTCAAACCATGCATGGGCAGGCTAAATGCATGGGCAGGCGAAATGTACCCAAGGATTTTACATGCAATTATTGTTAGTGGCTAATTATAGCCGCTTGCAGTTATCACTGTGTTCTTCCGATGGGGATGACCTCCCCCACCCCCAGTTGGGAGAACACAATGGTTCCACGGGAGGGATTCCCCCATCAACACTTACTGTATTGATGGGGGAATCAAGCGATTCTATTTCCTGCAACGAAAGAAAATCTCCCCGTCTATGGCCAGCCTAAGATGTGAGTTTGACCCCCCCCCCCCCCCCCCCCCAGCTATTTCTATCCTGTAATCCTTCCTAGTGGTGTGTATATGTGATTGGTGGTCTCAATAACAAATAGACCCAGCGGGCAGTAAAAGATGAGATCAAGGCTGACTTTGATAGAAATGGCTGAGATTTGCATTTTTGCATCTCATGTTTTTATTGATCTAGATGCACAGATGCAGCAGCTGCATGGACACAACCACATGTCATAATTTGACATGCATGCAGAAGTGCAGCTGTCTCTGTGCAGCGACTGCATCTGCATGCACCTCTGCATTTCTAGGCAGATGCAGGCACAACAACAAATGCAGCCTGCATGTAGAACACTTCAGCTCTTGTCTGCTGATGCCTTAGCCATGTTAACAGTTCAATTCAAACATATGTAAAGATGAAAAAAAGGAAGAGGAGTATAAAGAGCACTGATTACCCAATGGATTGTTTAGATGTATCCACCTATTGGATAAATACAAAGGAGATGGCACAGAGATTGTACAATCATATTGCACAGTATATGAACAGCTTAAGACTCCATTCACATTATGCAGGTACAAAAGAACGCATTGGAGTTCCCTTGCTTCTTGTGTAGGGCATGCCCATTTCCTGACCCTTTTGCAAAATTGTGCATGTTAGCAAATGCAATGGGGTGCCAAGTAAAAAAAAAAAAAGTAATGGCATCACCATGGGTTTGTTAAAGGACAGCATGTTTCTGTGCATGATTTTGCATGCATTTCCCAACCAGGGGCCCCTGTGTCCTTGCCCAAACTCAAAAAAGCTTATGAAAAAGGTACCAGGGGCATCTCATGGTGCCCCCTACTGACCCCAGGCCCTCGGGCAGTGCCCGAATTTCCAAATGGTCAGTCCGCCCCCGTTCCCAACATACCCAAAGTGTATGCACTGTGGTTTTGCTACAGTGCTGGTGTAGCCACAACTTTCAAGGAGAAATTTCATAGAGCGCATTTGCTTCAGGAACCTTCAACATAGAGATGACAGCTGGTAAGCACTGGAGCAGCACTTCCAGGATTTGAAGCAGGCTCTTAAGTTGGAAGAGAAGAAGGCAAGAAGGTATTTCTAAGTGCAATATATCCAGATCTTTAATAAAATAAGGTTTAAAACACTTACAGAAGTGTAAGAGTGTCAGGCTCATCAATATGCGTCACTGCAGGGCTCCTGTCGCTGTAATACAACCTGCTATGCTGGCCAGCAGCTGCAGGGGGAGCTCAGAGTGTAGTGGCAAGATGGACACTGCTCTTCTGGGACTGCTGTGGGACGCATGCCGTTCGCATGGTACACAAACCCAGAAGTGACGTCAAAGGGGGTGGTGGCGCGTTTCGGAGCATGCGTGTCACGTTCCTTCTTCAAGACCGAGCCCTAAGGGTGTTGGGGCCATTTAAATAAAGGAAGGGGGCAGGAACAAGGTGGCACTAGAAGGATAAACACACCTATCATATTCTTAACTGGTAAAAGACAAAAGAGACAAGTGGGTAAACTGGCATGTTGAGTGATAAATATTTGTTCAATCCTATGGAGTTAAAACGGATGACGCTACACTGAACAGAGAAGGTGTGGACAACGATACTGAGACGTATAAGTCTGTTACTAGTCAGTGACAGGATCCTTGTTTCATCGTGACAACCCAGCAAACAGATGAGACATTTAAAATGTAGGAGAATGATATAGCATCAATGAATATGTTATAAAAATAAATAAATTATATATATATATATATATATATATATATATATATATATTGTGACAGTGTGGCGATCTGTCACCCTGGATTCTCAACAAGGCAGGTTGAGGGGCTCCAGGGTAAGTGTTTGATACGGAGGAAAGTGGCTTTTCACTTTCCTCCTTTGTTTGTAAGGTCTGTTTTGGGATCTGGAGCCTGGAGATTTCAAAGAGATCTGGGAGGGATGAAATCTCCAATCCTGGGACCAGGTTTTGGGAATGGCCAGGAGACTGATTGCACAGGTGTGTGCAGGCCTTTTCAAAGAGTCAGGATCAGACTTCTGGGCTCCACCCCGGCAGACAGGAGTCAGGAGGGCTCCACCCTGGAAAACGGAGTCAGGAGGGCTCCACCCTGGCAGATAGGAGTCAGGAGGGCTCCACTTGGAAGACAGGAGGTCACTGCCTGGAAGTCAGGTGGGCTTCACCTAGGAGAGGTGGAAGCCAAAAGCAGCAAGGGGCTGCTAGAGACTAGCTATGTGCTAGAGGCCAGCGGTGTGCAAGTGCCATATTTTGGGAAGAAGTCTGCAGGAGACAGACAGCAAGCTGAGTATAAGCCAGGAGGCTGAACCGTTGTTTTGTGGATGATCGATACCCCTGTGTGGGAAACTTCTGTTTGAACTTTCATTTAAATAAAAGTGGGCTAAAAAAAGTCCTTGAAAAATAAGCGAGTAGCTGTGTGCGTTTAAAAGCTCTACCACGTTGAAGCGAGTTCCCACAATATATATATATATATATATATATATATATATATATATATATACGCACATATATCAACAACTTATATACAGTATGCATACAAATTGAAGAGAATATATAAAAATATATATGTGTATATTAAAAACATACACAGATAGTATATAAAAGACACAGGGATAATGAGTGAAACTAGAATGCAACCAAAAACCAATATCTTGTATGGATGTCCCAATTTAGCAGCATTAGAAGAGGAGATACATCATAACAATATAACTGAAGCAAATCATTATCTCTATTAGATGTACTCACTTATGGGCGAGGAGACCAAACCCAACCACCCCCCATTTTTTTTTATATGCTTGATCAGTAAATATAATATGGAATCTGAAATAAATAAGATAAGAATATTGGGTTAATATATGATATAATGGCATTCTCCACACAGGACTCTATATTATGATATTAATCTCATGTTCCTCATTTAAAGCTCCCAGGGATAGCACATCCAGGTCATATATCCAATACGTCTCCCTCTGGCACAAAACTGGAATCTTTCTGCCATTGAGAGGTCAGCGGGTAGTGCTTCAGTTACACAGACCCTTAAGCCCTCTGTGGATTTGCTGTGGTGTTTCAAAAAATGTCTGGGGACACTATGTTTATCTTTGCCATCCTCAATGAGGAGACAATGTTCCCCATAACATTTCCAGAAAGCGCAGATAGTTCTACCCACGTAATGTAAACCACATGGGTATACCAAATAGTACACTACAAATTCTGATGAGCATGTATAAAACTCCTGAATTTTGTATGTTTTCCTTTTAATACGGAAATCTTTTTAGCCATGCTTGACAAATTTACATGTCAAACAGAGCAGTTTATGACATTGGTACATGCCTATGATGGAAAAAAAAACTTAAGTAAGGCTAAGTTATGTTTCTTGGATTTTAATTTGCTAGGTGCTATTCTGCTCTTGATATTGCAAGCTTTTCTGTAAGAAAATCTGGGTTTTTCTAATATGGAGTGTTGTAAGTGCGGACCCTGTAATAATATTGACCAATGCTTATGCATCACCTGTTGCATATGCGTATGGCAATTGTGAAATTGAATGGTGAATTGGATGGTTGATGTCCCCACAATGGAAGAGGTATTAGTAGTATCATGTCCGGTAATATACAGTGATTGGGCTTGGTCAGTTAGTGTTGATTGATATCCTTTTACAAGGAACTTATTTCTCAAGGCTGTACTCTGCAATAATCAGTAAGTTTGATGCAATTGTGCCTAAGCCTGGTGGTGACAACTTCTGTAATGAAGAAAATAGTTTTTTACGGTAGGTTTAGATATAATTTCTATCAAAGATCTGATCGTCTTCATGGCACATTTCCAGATCCAGGAAGGCCAAGGTCTCTTTGTCTACCACTGAGGTGAAAGTGAGACCCATGTCACTGGCATTACAATGGGATGCTGTTGTATACTAGCCACATCACTATCCCATATGATTATAACATCATCAGTGTATCTCCTATAGTATACAATATGGGACACATAAGGGTTTTTGTGCTAGATATACCATGAATCCCAGTGCCACATTGTTAGGTTGGCATATGAGGGGGCAAAGTTGGCAGTGCCCTGGACTTAGAGGTAGTAGTCACCTTTAAACTGAAAATAATTGTGCATTAGACAGATTAGAGTTGCATCAGCAATGAATTTAGCTTGTCTGAGATTAAGTACCATATCTTCAGACAGGAAGAATTGTAGTGTTCTCATACCTACTGTATATCATGGGGTATGGAGGTGTAGAGGGATTGTACATCTAAAAAGACCCATGTATATGTGGGTTACCAAGAATGAAGAGTTATTTGTTGTAACAGATGGATGCCATTACTAATGTAAAATTGTAGACCTTGTGCCAGTGGTTGCAGGAAGGTATCAACATAAAGCGAAAAAAAAACACTGGTGACGCTATTCATAGTTGCCACTATTGGTCTGCCTGGGGGATGGGTGATGCTTTTATGTATCTTTGGAAGGTAATAGAAATATGGAGTGTTATAATATTCTTTCAACATGAAAGAAGCTTCTGTTTGGGAAATGACTTTATTAGCACATGCTTTACTGACTAAATTCTTCACCTCCATAGTATTTATGGGCAAAAGGTTAGTGTAGGTGTTGTTATCAGATAGTGACTGTTGGCCCTCTGTAATATAATCTGTTCAATATAACTATGCTACCACCTTTATGGCTGATTTTATGACTATATTGGTATTTGTGGTAAGTGCTCATAACACTTGGGGTTCAGATAGGGTGAGATTTTGTTCCCTAGGTTTGGGTTTCTGCTAACACCTGGAACTGATGATACTGGTGTATTTAAGGGATGGCCAGACTTGCAGACTCTGCCTTGGTGTTGTGTTTGTCCTGGGCCCTGTATCTGTCCTGCATCCTGTTTCTGTTCCTTTGCTACCTGTTCTGATCCCTGGCTTGTGACCCTGACCATCCCTCTGCCTGACCCTCTGTACTACGCTGCTTGCTACCTGTTCTGATCCCTGGCTTGTGACCCTGACCATCCCTCTGCCTGACCCTCTGTACTACGCTGCTTGCTACCTGCTGAACCTGGCCTGTGACCCCGACCATTCTCCGCTTGCTCCCCCTGTACCTACCTGCCCAATTGATATTGACTCGGCCTGCCTGACGACGCTTGCTTGTATGTACTGTTATCTGTGGGTGGTTGGTTGGGTTTGTTTGCACTGTATTATGTTTAGTATTGCACTGCGTTTATGTTTGTATTGTTAGTGTTAATAAATTACATTGTTAATCACATATCTGAAGTCTGCGTTTCCCTGCTTCAGTCACACACCTCTGGTCATACCTGGGAGCCCTGACATTACACCAAGGCCAATCCTGACCAGAAGTGGCTGCACAGGGAAGCCATCTTGGCTTGTTGATGGGAAGGATGGATCTGGATGAGGTTGCGTATTTATATCTGCTAGTGTTTGATGACAGGGAGTATGCTTATCAAACTCTGAAGGAGTATACCCGGGATGAACTGCTAGAATGTATACGGCTCGCTCATGTTCTAGTAGATCAGGGCACAGAGTTCTCTGAGGTGCAGCCTTTGATTGAGGTTTGTGCAGAGTTGGTTTCATCTGGTTCCCCCGAATGCAGGGATGAATTTTTGCCACCATTTAGTGCAGACCAGGTAGAGTCCCTGGTGTGGTTATTAGAGGATGATGTGGGTTACTTTCTGGAGCGTTATTCCACATGTTCACCACAGACACTAAGAGATTGTATAAACGCAGTGCAGTCATTGACCAGACAGGCTTTGTGTAAGCTCAGCTTTGTTCAACCCATACTGCAGACATGGACAGACTTGTTGCACCCAGCCTCAGTCAGCTTACAAAAACCCAGTCCTGCTTCTAACTCTACTCCTGTATTCCCAACAGCTCCTCCAGTTACAGCCCAGTATACTTGGCTATCTACCGCATGTCAGTACCCTGTTCCCACTCGCTGCACCTATCCTGCCTTTAAACCCTGTAAAAAAGCCCTCTGTAGCAACTGCTCCCTCTCCTGTTCCATCCTCCAGTTCTTCTCTGTCTCCAGCTGCTCCATTCGTTTGCAGACCTGCGTTTACTTGCAGTGCTCCAGTAGTTAAAACCAGAAAAAAGCGAAAATTCTTTCCAACCAATACCATCCTGCCAGTATCCAAACCGGTGAGCCTGCCTTCCGTGGTTCAGCCTGAAAGCCTCTACTCAGCCTGAAGCCTCTACTCAGCCTGATGCCTGTACTCAGCCTGATGCCTGACTCCCTGATGCCTGTACTCAGCCTGATGCCTGTACGCAGCCTGATGCCTGATGCTCTCTGCCTGATGCCTCTACTCAGCCTGATGCCTCTACTCGGCCTGATGCCTGATGCCTACTCGGCCTGATGCCTCTACTCGGCCTGATGCCTCTACTCGGCCTGATGCCTCTACTCGGCCCTCTACTCGGCCTGAAGCCTCTACTCGGCCTGATGCCTCTACTCTGAAGCCTGAAGCCTCTACTCGGCCTGAAGCCTCTACTCGGCCTGAAGCCTCTACTCGCCTGACCTCTACTCCGGCATTCAGCCTGATGCCTCTACCCAGCATGATGAACTGATCCAGCCTGACGATCCTATTAGGCCAGTTGACTCGATGCCCGCTGTTGATCCAGATGATCCGGTACCTGATCCGGTGCCCGCTGTCGTGCCAATTGACTCAGAGCCCGCTGTCGTACCTGGTGACTCGGTGCCCACTGCCTTGCCAGATGACCGGTGCCCGCTGGCGAGCCAAATGACCTGATGCCTGGTGACCCAGTGCCCGCTGTCATACCTGGTGACCCGATGCCCGCTGTCGAGCCAGACGATCCAATGCCTGGTGACCCGGTGCCCACTGCCTTGCCAGATGACGCGGTGCCCGCTGGCAAGCCAAATGACCTGATGCCTGGTGACCCAGTGCCCGCTGTCATACCTGGTGACCCGATGCCTGCTGTCGGAGCCAGACAATCCGGTACCTGATGACCCGGTGCCCACTGTCGTGCCTGTTGACTCGGAGCCCACTGCCTTGCCAGATGACGCGGTGCCCGCTGTCGAGCCAAATGACCTGATGCCTGGTGACCCGATGCCCGCTGTCCAGCCAGACGATTCAATGTCTGCCCCAGTGCCCGCGGTCATGCCAGTTGACTCGGAACCCACTGCCTTGCCAGATGACGCGGTGCTCGCTGTCAAGCCAAATGACTTGATGCCTGGTGACCCGATGCCCGCTGTCCAGTCAGACGATCCAATGTCTGACCCAGTGCCCGCGGTCATACCAGTTGACTCGGAGCCCCCACTGCCTTGCCAGATGACGCGGTGCCCGCGGTCGAGCCAAATGACCTGATGCCTGGTGACCCGATGCCCGCTGTCCGGTCAGACGATCCAATGTCTGACCCAGTGCCCCCGCGGTCATACCAGTTGACTCGGAGCCCACTGCCTTGCCAGATGACACGGTGCCCGCTGCGAGCCAAATGACCTGATGCCTGGTGACCCGATGCCCGCTGTCCAGCCAGACGATCCAATGTCTGACCTAGTGCCAGCGGTCATGCCAGTTGACTCGGAGCCCACTGTCGTGCCTGGTGACTCGGTGCCCGCTGCTCCGCCTGGGGGCCCGAGACCTGTCGCTCCCCCTGGGGGGGGTCCAGCGCCCGCCGCCCGCTCCGCCTGGGGGGCCGGCGCCCGCCGCCCCGCCTGGGGGCCCGAGACCTGCCGCCCCGCCTGGGGCCCGAGACCTGTCGCCCGCCTGGGGGTCCGGCGCCCGCCCGCCCGCCCGCCTGGGGCCCGAGACCTGTCGCTCCACCTGGGGGTCCGGCCCCCGCCCGCCTGAGGGCCCGAGGGGGCCCGTCCTGCTCCGCCTGGGGGGGTCCGGCGCCCGCCGCTCCGCCCAGCTGAGGGCCCGAGACCTGGGTCCTCCGCCTGGGGGGGGGCCCGCCCTGCGCCCCGCCTGGGGGTCCCGGCGCTCCGCCTGAGGGCCCGCCCGTGACCTGCGCCCCTGGGGGCGAGCCTGTCGCCCCCGCCTGGGGGCCCGCCCGCCGCTCCGCCTGGGGGCCCGAGACCTGTCGCTCCGCCTGGGGGGGCCCGAGACCCTGTCGCCCCGCCTGGGGGCCCGAGACCTGTCGCTCCCCCACCTGGGGGTCCGGCGCCCGCCGCTCCGCCTGAGGGCCCGAGACCTGTCGCTCCACCCGGGGGTCCGGCGCCCGCCGCTCCGCCTGAGGGCCCGAGACCTGTCGGCCCTGGGGGGTCCGGGCCGCCCGCCTGGGGGCCCGCGCCTGTCGCCCGCCTGGGGGCCCGATGCCTGTCGCCCCCTGCCTGGGGGCCCGCCTGCCCCCGCCTGGGGGCCCGAGGCCTGTCGCTCCCGCCTGGGGGTCCGGCGCCCCCCCCGCTCCGCCTGGGGCCCGAGACCTGTCGCCCGCCTGGGGGCCCGATGCCTGTCGCCCCCGCCCCGGGCCCCGATGCCTGTCGCCCCGCCCGGGGGCCCGATGCCTGTCCTGCCCCCCGCCTGGGGGCCCGATGCCTGTCGCTGTCCTCCCGGGGGTCCGGCGCCCGCCGCTCCGCCTGAGGGCCGAGACCTGTCGCTCCCACCCGGGGGTCCGGCGCCCGCCGCCCGAGGCCTGTCGCCGCCTGAGGGCCCGAGGCCTGTAGTTCCGCCTGGGGGCCGGCGCCCGCCGCCCCGCCTGGGGGCCCGATGCCTGTCGCCCCCCCCCGCCTGGGGGCCCGATGCCTGTCCCCCGCCTGGGGGGGCCCGATGCCCTGTCGCCCCCGCCTGGGGGCCCGAGCCTGTCGCTCCATCTGGGGGTCCGGCCCCCGCCGCCGCTCCGCCTGAGGGCCCGAGACCTGTAGTTCCGCCTGGGGGCCCGATGCCTGTCGCCCCGCCCGCCTGGGGGCCCGATGCCTGTCGCCCCGCCCGGGGGCCCGATGCCTGTCGCCCCGCCTGGGGGCCCGATGCCTGTCGCTCCGCCTGGGGGGGCCGGCCCCGCCGCTCCGCCTGAGGGCCCGAGGCCTGTCGCTCCACCCGGGGGTCCGGCGCCCGCCGCCGCCGCCTGCCGGCCCGAGGGCCCGAGGCCGTAGTTCCGCCTGGGGGTCCGGCGCCTGCCGCCCCCCCCTGGGCCCGATGCCTGTCGCCCCGCCCGGGGGGGCCCGATGCCTGTCGCCCCGCCTGGGGGCCCGATGCCTGTCGCCCCGCCTGGGGGGGCCCGATGCCTGTCGCCCCGCCTGGGGGCCCGAGCCCCTGCCGCTCCCGCCCGGGGCCCGAGACCTGCCTGCCGCCCGGGGGGCCGATGCCTGTCCCCCGCCCGGGGGCCCGATGCCTGTCGCCCCGCCCGGGGGCCCGATGCCTGCCCTCCGCCCGGGGGCCCGAGGCCTGTCCCCCGCCCGGGGGCCCGAGGCCTGTCCCCCCGCCCGGGGGCCCGGTGCCTGCCGCCCGCCCGGGGGCCCGGTGCCTGCCCCCCGCCCGGGGGCCCGCCGCCTGCCGCTGCCCGGTGCCCCGATGTGCCGCGGATCCTGCCCGATGTGCCTCTGCCCGGAGCCCTGCCCGATGTGCCTCTGCCCGGAGTCCTGCCCGATGTGCCTCTGCCCCCGGAGTCCAGCCCGATGTGCCTCTGCCCGGAGTCCAGCCCGATGTGCCTCTGCCCGGAGTGCCCGATGTGCCTCTGCCCGGAGTCCAGCCCGATGTGCCTCTGCCCGGAGTCCAGCCCGATGTGCCTCTGCCCGGAGTCCAGCCCGATGTGCCTCTGCCCGGAGTCCAGCCCGATGTGCCTCTGCCCGGAGTCCAGCCCGATGTGCCTCTGCCCGGAGTCCAGCCCGATGTGCCTCTGCCCGGAGTCCAGCCCGATGTGCCTCTGCCCGGAGTCCAGCCCGGTGTGCCTCTGCCCGGTGTCCAGCCCGATGTCTGCCCGGAGTGCAGCCCGATGTGCCTCTGCCCGGAGTCCAGCCCGATGTGCCTCTGCCCGGTGTACCGCTGCCCGGAGTCCTGCCCGGTGTGCCAGTCTTTGATATCCCGCCAGTTACCAGACCCGGGCGGTGGAACATTTTTCCCAGCTAGGACTGTTTGGAGCGTCCTGAGGCCGCTCCTTGAGGGGGGGGTACTGTCAGGAATGGACTGGCCAGCAATGGTGGACTCACCTGCCTTTTGATCTGCAGTACCAGGGCTGGCCAGCGGGTGCTCCCAGCAATCAGAGACTCAACCTTTCAGCCAGCTAACACCTGGAACTGATGATACTGGTGTATTTAAGGGATGGCCAGACTTGCAGACTCTGCCTTGGTGTTGTGTTTGTCCTGGGCCCTGTATCTGTCCTGCATCCTGTTTCTGTTCCTTTGCTACCTGTTCTGATCCCTGGCTTGTGACCCTGACCATCCCTCTGCCTGACCCTCTGTACTACGCTGCTTGCTACCTGTTCTGATCCCTGGCTTGTGACCCTGACCATCCCTCTGCCTGACCCTCTGTACTACGCTGCTTGCTACCTGCTGAACCTGGCCTGTGACCCCGACCATTCTCCGCTTGCTCCCCCTGTACCTACCTGCCCAATTGATATTGACTCGGCCTGCCTGACGACGCTTGCTTGTATGTACTGTTATCTGTGGGTGGTTGGTTGGGTTTGTTTGCACTGTATTATGTATTGCACTGCGTTTATGTTTGTATTGTTAGTGTTAATAAATTACATTGTTAATCACATATCTGAAGTCTGCGTTTCCCTGCTTCAGTCACACACCTCTTGGAAAAGTATCCAGAGAAGCATATGGCATTTTGATGAAGCTCCATCCCACATATGGATTCAATGCTGGTTATGTTTACCTTAGGGTAATTATGTATTTTTACCTTACCGTGTGCAGTGGGTTCATTCTATCTAGTTTATGTTCACGATTGCTGTGGCACTTGATTTTTTTTGCACGCAAAACAAGTGGCACATATATGTTATCCTAAGATAATACACTATGTTTAGGTTTTGTTTTATTTGAGGTCTATGAGGAATATCTGGAATCCATCATCGACCCCTTTGGAATCTAAGCTATTTGGATCTGCTCTGAGCATTGTTGTCACCTTTTCACATGTTGATGGATTAATGTTTGGACTATTTTTGGACTTTCAGTTTTTTAGATATAATTATATTTATTGAAGTCTGCTGTACTATTTAGTACCCCGTAAACGCTTAAGTTACAAACTAAGGTCAGTTGGCATTGACAACAGTGTATGTACCTGGATAGAAAAAACAGGAGCATGTCCAGAGAGTGATCATAAATAGCGCATATTCAGAATGGTCTGGAGTCGTGAGCAGGGTGCCCCAGGGCTCTGTCCTGGGACTAAATTATTTAACCAGTTCATAAATGATATAAAGGTTGGTATAAATAGTTCAATCTCAGTGTTTGCTGATGATACAAAGCTAAGCAGGGCACTAACCTCACAACAGGATATAGCAAGTTTACAGAAGGACTTCGATTATTAAATGAAGGGAGGGGCACAATTACATGGCAAGTGAGGTTTAATATTGATAAATGTAAAGTAATGCACTCTGAGGCTAAAAATACAAATGCAAGTTATCTTGCTAGGAGGAGAACCTCTGGGGAATCAAAGATGGAAAAGTTTCTATGAGTCCTAGTGGAGCACAGGCACAGCAATAGCATGCAATGCCATGCTACAGCAAGCAAGATTAGTAGACTATTAGTGTGTATTAAAAAGGGCTTTTACTTATGATATAAAACTATAATTCTACTACTTTACAAAACTCTGGTCAGGCCACATCTTGAGTATGCTGTCCAGTTCTGGTCACCAATCCTCGGGAAGGAATCCAGAGAAGGTCAAAAAACCTAACAGGGAGACTGGAGGACCTCAGTTATGAGGAACAACTACAAAGATTAACCCTTTTTTTCCAATGTGAAGACACATTCATCTTTGCAGAATTTGCTTTTAATTTCAACTGCTTATATTGTATCTCTGGATCTACTGGTTATGCAAATATGCAGTTTTCATTAAGGTGATTATGTATTATTTCATCATCACGTGATTACCTTTAACTGGAGCCTGTGACAAGTTTGGCTTCGTTTAATTTATTGTAAATTAACCACTTGCCCTCCAGAAGATTTACCCGCCT